GTGATGTGGGCCAGGCACGGGGAGAGGCCAGGCCCGGTGGCCGGCAATCGTGCGCTCAGGACGGAGCCGGGGCTGAGTCACAGGGTGGCCGTGGAGGGGACCGACTCTGAGCCCTTCCCAGCCCCCAAACACAGCCTCTGATCCTGCACACGACTCCCAGAGGCAGCCCCACCGCCCGGCCCACGGGGGTATCTCCTTCCTGTACCCCCAAAAGTCCCAGGCAACACCGCAGCTCGTCCCACTCTGCGCCCCGGGGCCCGTGCCATCATCGGTTCCCAGCACAGCGTCTCACGCTGTCCCTCCCGCTTCTCGCCCGGCGTTGGGAAAAACGCACACGCTTCGCCCACGTGTCGAGACGAATCTCGAAGCAGATTCAACAGACAGGACGGAAGTCGGACTCACACGCGGGGACACGGCCGGCCGTGCACGCCCTCTCTGCACAGCGCGGCCCGCAGGCCGGGGCCCCGCGCCACGCACCCTGGTCCTTGCCGTCACGCCTCTGGTCTCCGTCTCCGCCGCCGCCGCCGCCTCCGCCACCGCCTCCCGCTGCAAGACAAGAGCATGAGAAAATCCTGGAAAACCACACGGCGGAAACGGCCAGTCTCGTACAACGACGGTGTCCCCAACTCCGCGGTTTCCGTAGGAACCGAGGTGCATGGCAGCCACGTCTCTGTTAGGAAATCTGCAACTCGCCAGCACGTGGGCTTAAAGGACCAACCCATGACACAGCCCTGCACGACCCCAACACTCCCGGGAACCCCACATGCAAGATCCATTTGATACCGCAGGGCCGAACCCGGCAGGACCTGTCCACGTGGTGAGACAGACGCTGACTCTTCCCCGCGAGGGTCGTGGGGTGGCTACGAGAACAGCGGCTCATGTTCTTTGTGTTAAACGCTGGGCGTTTTACGGCTGGAGACGCGAATGCGTCATGAACCGCCGTCTGCAGGGCCGGCTCCCTCCCCTCGCCACGGCTGGCATTTCCCGTCGGGCGGGGTACGTGAGCTCGGGGGTCACGGACCCCGTGAAAACTGGGAAGACAATGAAGATTTAACGTCGCCCCTGACGCTAGCTTGGCCTAAAGGCATCAAAGACGGTGGGACAGCCTCTGGGCGCGTGGAGACCCCCAGCGGCACCGCGGCACCCCAGAAAGCCACGAGAATGGTCCACGGCCGCAGAACCGCCCGGGGTCCCCCGGCGGACTTCAGAGCACGCCACGAGGGGCGCCCCGCTAGCCCTCCCCCGGCCACCGCCGCGGGCCCCTCCTGCCTGACGTCAGGCTGAGCTGAGCATCTCCCGTGAGGGAGGCAGATGTCACCGTAAAGGACGGAACCCCTCCTCAGGTAGCCTGTCCGCCAGCGCGAGGAGAACTTGAGAGGTGACAGAGAGGGATGGTGCCTTCGCGTCTCGCTGCCCCTTCTATCCGCAGGTCTTCGCCGGGCACGTCCCCAAAGTCCGTTATGGGTCCACTCGGCAGCGCCGCTGCTCGCCCTGTGGCCGGACGCCCCCGGGTGCAAGGCCCCCCCATCGCGAGTGGGAGGCGATGCCTTCAGGATCCCCGCAGTGCACCCCAGGAGCGACGTACACACCGCAGCTTATTGCAGGTGGAAACCCGAA